TGTTGTAGTTTTGATTTGCATTTCTCTAATAATTAGTGATATTGAGCATCTTTTCATGTGCCTGTTGGCCATCTGTGTGTCTTCTGTGGGGAAATGTCTATTTAGAGCTTCTGCTCATTTTAAAAAATATTTATTTATTTACTTGTTGGGTCTTGGTTGTAGCATGTAGGATAGCTCCCTGACCAGGAATTGAACCTGGGCGTCCTGCTTTGGGAGCATGAAATCTTAGCCTCTGGACCACCAGGCAAGTCCCTTTCCTCATGTTTTGATTGGATTGCTGTTTTCCGACATTAAGCTGTATGAGCTATTTGTATATTTGGGGTGTCATGAAGCTCCAATGCTTTGGTCACCTTTTATGAAGAACCAAATCATTGGAAAAGACCCTGATGCTGGGATAGATTGAAGGCAAAAGGAGAAGGGGATTGCAGAGGATGAGATGGTTACATAGCATCACATTTTCAATGGACATGAATTTAAGCAAACTCCAGGAGATATTGGAGGACAGAGGAGCCTGGCATCCTGCAGTCCGTGGAGTGGCAAAGTGTCAGACATGACTTAGTGACTGAACACCAACAACAACCTTTTAGGGAACCAAAAACTATCCCTTTTAAAGCATAAGCAAAATAACAACAGTTTTCTCTATTGCAGCTTAAAGACTGCATAATTATAGAATAAATTGATCATTGATTCAGACTTCTATGAAGACCTTAGTTCATCACATGACCAACTCTTGGAAAATCTCATGTGCTATTGAAGCACACATTTTGAAGGACAACTAGTTACAAGAACAAAAGGATATGTGTCTGGGTCCGCTTTATGTAGACTACATGATAGATATTTGGGAAAGTATTGGTTTCAGAAAAATAAGGATACATGACTTATTAAATATAAAGTAAATGGATGGGAAACCATACTGAATGCTATCAAGACAGAAAAATATTCAGGACAAAATTGATGCTTTTGAACTGCGGTGTTGGAGAAGACTCTTAAGAGTCCTTTGACTAGCAAGGAGATCCAACCAGTCCATCCTAAAGGAAATCAGTCCTGAATATTCTTTGGAAGGACTGGTGCTGAAGCTGAAACTCCAATACTTTGGCCACCTGATGTGAAGAATTGACTCATTTGAAAAGACCCTGATGCTGGGAAAGATTGAAAGCAAGAGGAGAAGGGGACGACAGAGGATAAGATGGTTGAATGGCATCACCAACTCAATGGACATGAGTTTGAGTAAACTCAGGGAGTTGGTGATGGACAGGGAGACCTGGTGTGCTGCAGTCCATGGGGTCACAAACAGTTGGACATGACTGAGCGACTGAACTGAACTGACTGAGCTACTGAACTGAACTGAAGCTGGTGGAAGAGACTGATTCATTATACTTTATTTAAGAGTAAAGATAAACAAAAAGTAGGTCATGGTGGAAAGAATCAGGTAAAGCCATGTACCAAATATGGGAGCCAGTGTGATGAGTTCCATGGTTACTAGCAGTATGTAAATCCAAGCTTTTGTTATGAGAGCAAAGTGAGGCTGTTTCCAAGAAAACATTCTCTTCTTCGAGAACAGTGTGGGTGAGGGAAGATATTCTCATTTTCTTATTGCTTCAGCTATCCACAGAACAAATCAAGTATTTGTTTCCATGTGATATGGTGGACATTAGCAAGTCAACCTCAGGTTCACACTGAATTCTTTACTGTAGATACTGGTGTTTCTACGAGGTTCTGTTATGATGAGTGTTCAAAACCAAACAAACAACTTGACACAATGAACGCTCTGTGCGTCTGTGTCTGTGCGCTCAATATATCCGACTGTTTGTGACCCCATGGACTGTAGCCATGGACTAGATGGCTGTAGACCCCATGGGTTGTAGCCATGGATTGTAGCACAATTACACTCACCTCACACGCTGGAAAAATAATGCTCAAAATTCCCCATGCTAGGCTTCAACAGTATATGAACTGAGAACTTCCAGATATTTAAGCTGTATTTAGAAAAGGCAGAGGAACCAGAGATCAAATAGCCAACATCTGCTGGATCATAGAAAAAGCAAGAGAATTCCAGAAAAACATCTACTTTTCTTCATTGTCTATGCTAAAGTCTTTGACTGTGTGGATTACAACAAACTGTGGAAAATTCTTAAAGAGATAGGAATACCAGACCACCTTACCTGCCATCCGAGAAATCTGTATGCAGGTCAAGATGCAGCAGTTAGAATTGCATATGAACAATGGACTGGTTCCAAATCGGGAATGGAGTACGTCAAGGCTGTATATTTTCCTGCTTATTTAACTTATATGCAGGGTACATCATGCAAAATGCCAGGCTGGATGAAGCACTGGCTGGATTCAAGATTGCCAGGAGAAATATCAATAACCTCAGATATGCAGATGACACCACCGTTATGGCAGAAAGTGAAGAGGAACTAAAGAGCCTCTTGAGGAAAGTGAAAGAGGAGAGTGAAAAAACTGGCTTAAAACTCAACATTTGAAAAACGAAGATCATGGCATCTGGTCCCCTCATTTCATGGCAAATAGATGGGGAAACAATGGAAGCAGTGAGAGACTTTATTTTCTTGGGCTCCAAAATTACTGCAGATGGTGACTGCAGCCATGAAGGTAAAAGACACATGCTCCTTGGAATAAAAGTTGTGACCAACCTAGACAGCTTATTAAAAAGCAGAGACATTACTTTGCTGACAAAGGTCTGTCTAGTCAAAGCTGTGGTTTTTCTAGTAGTCATGCATGGATGTGAGAGTTGGGCCATAAAGAAAGCTGAGCACTGAAGACTTGATGATTTTGAACTGTGGTGTTGGAGAAGACTGTTGAAAGTCTGTTGGACTGCAAGGAGATCAAACCAGTCAATCCTAAAGGACCTCAACCCTGAATATTCATTGAAAGGACTGATGTTGAAGCTGAAGCTCCAATACTTGGGCCATCTGATGCGAAAAACCGACTCATTGAAAAAGACCCTGATGCTGGGAAAGATTGAAGGCAGGAGGAGAAGGGGAAGACAGAGGATGAGATAGCTGGATGGCATCACTGACTCAATGGACATGAGTTTGCGCATGCTTCAGGAGTTGGTGATGGACAGGGAAGCCTGGCGTGCTGCAGTCCTTGGGGTTGCAAAGATTCCGACATGACTGAGTGACTGAACTGAACTGAACTGGACTTTAGCCCACCAAGCTCTTCTGTCCATGGGATTTCCAAGCAAAATTACTGAAGCAAGTTGTCATATTTTCCTCCAGGGGATCTTCCCAACCCAGGGATCAAACCTGCATCTTGTATCTCCTGCATTGACAGGCAGCTTCTTTACCATGCTGCCACCTTAGCTAGAACAAAATCCTCAGCCACAGTTAGTGTAATTGGTAACTAAAAGAATGAGAGCTGTAATGGTACTTATGGTAGCAGAATAATGTCCCCTCAAAGATGTACAAACCTTAATCTCTGGTGTTCTGCCTGTGTATGTTATGTAACAAGGCAAAGGGGCATTGCAAATGGAATTAAGGTTGTCAACCTTAAAATAGGAAAATTAGCCTGGATTATTTGGATGGGACTAATGTAAATATATGGATTCTTAAAAGTGGAAGATGAAGGGAAAATAGTTGGCAAGAGAAAAGAAGAGTGGAGGAGAGATTGGAAACATGAGAAAGACTTGACCTCCCTTGTTGACTTTTAAGACAGAGGAAGGGGGGCCATGAACCAAGGAATGCAAACGGCTTCCAGAAGTTGGGAACAACCCTCAGTAACAGCCGGGAAGGAAATGAGAATCTTAGTCATCACTGCAAGGAACTAAATTCTACTAGCAACTGGAATGAGTAAGGAAATGGGTTTTTAACCCTGTCTAGTCTTTGATTTAGGTTTGTGAGTTTCTAAGCAGGGGTCTGGCTGAGCTCACCAGACTTCTGATGCACAGAAATAGTGAGATAATAAGCTTGGGTTATTTCAAGCTGTAAGTTTGTGGTAATTTGTTATAGTAACAAGGGAAAATCAACAAAGAAATCATTAAAAGTCTCTTTTGGGGACGTTTGAATATGACCTGGCTGATGGGCTCTCTTCTTGAAAGTTTTATGCACAACAAATGGAGGAGAGTCCTGAAAAACCCAGAAGAGCAAATGCATGTAACAGAATTCCCCACTCTCAAGGTCCTTAAATCCTATTAAATCCTAATAAATTAAAATTTGATAGTGGAAGAAAAAAGAGTGAAAAACATAACATGAAATCGGGATAAGGAGTGTAGGCTGGGGTGGGAGGATGAGGGATAAGCCATACACTAGAGCAGATCCTGTGGGACTTTTAGGCATTGAAAAGACTTGGCTTTTCCTCAGAGTGAGGTGGGAAGCCTTTGGGCTATTGCATGGGGAGAACAAGAATGGAATCAGGAAGACCAGTGGGGGCCATTGCAATAATTAAGGCTGGAGTTGTGGTGGCGTGGACTGGGGGTGGGGGGTGGGTGGCAGTCGAGGTTATGAGAAGTAATAGGGTTCTGGATTCATCTGGAGGAGGGTAGAGTTCATGAGAATTTTGTCTGAGGCGATTGTTAGACTCAAATAAGTTACTAATTATTTGTAAAAAGGCAAACCCAGATCTTGGAGCTTATCTGTGAAGTTCAATCTTTTTCATGAGTCATATTTTTCAACAGTAATTTGAAAAACCTAGGGTAAAAAAATGTAGGTACAACTATGACAGAATTTTACTAAAGGAAATTGTTCTCAATAAATTTTGATGTTTCTTACATATTCATTGCTATGATTCATATATACTAGAATCACTAAATAATTTTAATTTATGGAAATAAAATATTTCTAGCAATGGGCCTTTGATGAGGCTAGATGGATGAATTTTGAGATGTTTACATCGTATGTCCATCACATTCTAGTTTACAAAACTACCAGTTTGTTTTACATTTTGCTATAGGCAGTGACTTGAAATTTTGTATTTTGAACGCATTGACTCTCTGGTTCTAGCTGCATTTTTGTTTATCTGTTTTTTAATATTTTCCTTATCAGAAGGAAACTGTTTTCCAGAATGGGATGGACTCATCTGTTGGCCTAGAGGAACGGTGGGGAAAATGTTGGCTGTCCCGTGTCCTCCTTATATTTACGACTTCAATCACAAAGGTATTTAATTTCTTGTGAAATGATTCATTTGGAATAGAAACTTCCTTTTTTAAAAATAATAGACTCTACAAGAACTGAGCAATCTCAGTGTTTTTCTTCACATCTTTATAGGAGTTGCTTTCCGACACTGTAACCCCAATGGAACATGGGATTTTATGCACAGTTTAAATAAAACATGGTCTAATTATTCAGACTGCCTTCGCTTTCTGCAACCAGATATCAACATAGGAAAGGTAATTATTTTTGTATTTGTGAGCCCCTAAAGGAAAACAAAATGTTTTAATGCAATTCTTGATTACCAGCCACTGTACAAAAAACTCTTATATTATCTGACACAATATCGAAAAAGATAAAAGCAAGGTTGAAAGCTTTTCAGATACCTAGTTAAGGAAAAGTCTAGGACCTGAAACATTTTGGTATTTTCTTTTAGTTAGAATTACCTGGCTGAGGTATATGTATGTATACTTATGAATATGTGTCACTTATATTAAATTATGTTTATATTACATTATATGATGCTATATTATGTGGAAAAAATCCAAATAGGTAGTCAGCAACATAATTCATGATTTTTTTCTTGGTTACTTATGAATAGCAACATCTTGTCTCACTATATGTTCCTGGAGTAACTTTAAATTGTAGAGATGGGTTTTTCATCTCATAAGATTTGCCCTGGGCATACACACTGAGGAAACCAGATCTGAAAGAGACACATGCACCCCAATGTTCATCACAGCACTGTTTATAATAGCCAGGACATGGAAGCAACCTAGATGCCCATCAGCAGACGAATGGATGAGGAAGCTGTGGTACATATACACCATGGAATATTACTCAGCCATCAAAAAGAATTCATTTGAATCAGTTCTAATGAGATGGATGAAACTGGAGCCCATTATACAGAGTGAAGTAAGCCAGAAAGATAAAGACCAATACAGTATACTAATGCATATATATGGAATTTAAAAAGATGGTAATGATAACCCTATATGCAAAATGGAAAAAGAGACGCAGATGTACAGAACAGACTTTTGGAATCTGTGGGAGAAGGCGAGGGTGGGATGTTTCGAGAGAACAGCATCGAAACATGTATATTATCTATAGTGAAACAGATCACCAGCCCAGGTTGGATGCATGAGGTAAGTGCTCGGACCTGGTGCACTGGGAAGACCCAGAGGGATAGGGCGGAGAGGGAGGTGGGAGGGGGGACCGGGATGGGGAATACATGTAAATCCATGGCTGATTCATGTCAATATATGACAAAAACCACTACAATATTGTAAAGTAATTAGCCCCCAACTAATAAAAATAAATGAAAAAAAAAAAAGATTTGCCAGTAGGTGATTTCATCAGAGTAGGAAAAATTAAGAGCATGTAGAGTTAAAGAGGAGCAAGGGGGTGTCTTATAGATCTTCTCACATGATACCTTAATTGTACAGATGTATGTCAACTTAGAGCCAGAGATGAAGGGTTGATCCAAGTGACACAGCTCAGTTATGACAGCGTCTAGAGCAGGGCCCTGGTCTCCACATTCTTTATCAGTGCTACTTCTGATATGGTAATCACATGTAAACTTCAGAAACTTCTAGATAGTTACTTTTAGGTTTTATATGGTAGATAGACTAAAAGTCATGCTTAAATTCCTATCACTGAAACCTCCTCTATAAAATGCATGATGCTATAGGAATGAGCATAAGTTCACCATAGTCATATGATGGTACAGGTGAACATAAATTGAAGTATAAATGATTTTATGAGACACCTGAGAACAGTCATAATGCATAACTCTCATAACAGCAGACACTTTTCTTTATGCTTGGTGATCTTTTTTGGTTGTGGGGGAGGAGGAACAGTGGCAGGAGTACTGGTGAGTTGGAGAGTTCCTTGTTTGATTAGACATTAATAGTCAGGACTTCTTAGATCCTTAATTTTTTTTCTAACACAAAACCCTACCACCTTAAGGACTCTTTAGTAAGTTGCTAAAAGACTTCAGTTTAGTATTTCATTGTTGAGATGCTTCTTAGATAAAATTAGTTGTGTATGTTACAGTGGAGCCAAAGCCAAGTTAATGTAAAACACTTTAAAATAATTTAAATTTCATTGAAATAAATAAACATTCACAATGTTTAGTGTACTGTGTTATAAATTTGTGGATTAAATGACAAATTCAAGTCTTTCACAGCTTTTAAATGGCATTAAATTATATCATGATTTAATTTACATTGAACTCTAATATTATAATCATTCTTTTTGACTACTCTGTGTTCCAAGAATCAAAATATCTAAGGATGGTAAAATATCTGAAATATATACTATTTTATATGAACATGATTTAAAATTTAACTAAAAAATTTCATTAATTTTGTTCAGTTCAGTTCAGTTGCTCAGTTGTGTCCGACTGTTTGTGACCCCATGGACTGCAGCACGCCAGGCCTCCCTGTCCATCACCAACTCCCAGAGTTTACTCAAACTCATGTCCATCAAGTCGTGATGCCATCCAGCCATCTCATTCTCTGTCATCCCCTTCTTCTCCTGCCCCCAATCCCTCCCAGCATCAGGGTCTTTCCCAGTGAGTCAACTCTTCGCATGAGGTGGCCAAAGTATTGGAGTTTCAGCTTCAGCATCAGTCCTTCCAATGAACACCCAGGACTGATCTCCTTTAGAATGGACTGGTTGGATCTCTTGCAGTCCAAGAGACTCTCAAGAGTCTTTTCCAACACCACATTTCAAAAGCATCAATTCTTCGGTGCTCAGCTTCCTTCACTGTCCAACTCTCACATCCATACATGACTACTGGAAAAACCATAGCCTTGACTAGATGGACCTTTGTTGGCAAAGTAATGTCTCTGCTTTTTAATATGCTATCTAGGTTGGTCATAACTTTCCTTCCAAGGAGTAAGCATCTTTTAATTTCATGGCTGCAATCACCATCTGCAGTGATTTTGGAGCCTCCTAAAATAAAGTCTGACACTGCTTCCACTGTTTTCCCATCTATTTCCCATGAAGTGATGGGACCAGATGCCAGGATCTTAGTTTTCTGAATGTTGAGCTTTACGCCTACTTTTTCACTCTCCTCTTTCACTTTCATCAAGAGGCTTTTTAGTTCCTCTTCACTTTCTGCCATAAGGGTGATGTCATCTGCATATCTGAGGTTATTGATATTTCTCCCAGCAATCTTGATTCCACCTTGTGCTTCTTCCAGCCCAGCGTTTCTCATGATGTACTCTGCATATAAGTTAAATATGCAGGGTGACAATATACAGCCTTGACGTACTCCTTTTCCTATTTGGAACTAGTCTGTGGTTCCATGTCCAGTTCTGACTGTTGCTTCCTGACCTGCATATAGGTTTCTCAAGAGGTGGTTCAGGTGGTCTGGTATTCCCATCTCTTTCAGAATTTTCCACAGTTTATTGTGATCCACACAGTCAAAGGCTTTGGCGTAGTCAATAAAGCAGAAATGGATGTTTTTCTGGAACTCTCTTGCTTTTTTGATGATCCAGCGGATGTTGGCAATTTGATCTCTGGTTCCTCTGCCCTATATAAAACCAGCTTGAACATCTGGAAGTTCACGGTTCACGTATTGCTGAAGCCTGGCTTGGAGAATTTTGAGCATTACTTTACTAGTGTGTGAGATGAGTGCAATTGTGTGGTAGTTTGAGCATTCTTTGGGATTGCCTTTCTTTGGGACTGGAATGAAAACTGACCTTTTCCAGTCCTGTGGCCACTACTGAGTCTTCCAAATTTGCTGACATATTGAGTGCAACAGTTTCACAGCATCATCTTTGAGGATTTGAAATAGCTCAACTGGAATTCCATCACCTCCACTAGCTTTGTTCGTAGTGATGCTTTCTAAGGGCCACCTAACTTCACATTCCAGGATGTCTAGCTCTAGGTGAGTGATTACACCATCGTGATTATCTGGGTCATGAAGATCTTTTTCGTACAGTCCTGTGTATTCTTGCCACCTCTTCTTAATATCTTCTGCTTCTGTTAGGTCCATACCATTTCTGTCCTTTATCGAACCCATCTTTTCATGAAATGTTCCCTTGGTATCTCAAATTTTCTTGAAGAGATCTCTAGTCTTTCCCATTCTGTTGTTTTCCTCTATTTCTTTGCATTGATTTGCTGAGGAAGGCTTTCTTATCTCTCCTTGCTATTCTTTGGAACTCTGCATTCAAATGGGAATATCTTTCCTTTTTTCCTTTGCTTTTTGCTTCTCTTCTTTTCACAGCTATTTGTAAGGCCTCCTCAGACAACCATTTTGCCTTTTTGCATTTCTTTTCCATGGGGATGGTCTTGATCCCTGTCTCCTGTACAATGTCATGAACCTCCATCCATAGTTCATCAGGCACTCTGTTTATCAGATCTATCCCTTAAATCTATTTCTCACTTCCACTGTATAGTCGTAAGGGATTTGATTTAGGTCACACCTGAATGGTCTAGTGGTTTTCCCTACTTTCTTCATTTTAAGTCTGAATTTGGCAATAAGGAGTTCATTTTGTTAGCCATAAGTAATTTTATCTCCTTAATTAAAAGTGCAGAGTGTTTTCTGTTGTTTAAAACCCTTAAGTAGTAATTAGAGAAAACTTAAGAAATGTAAAAAATCTTCTAATAAGAAAACTGGATAGCTCCTGAAGTTTTGATATGCTGTAGGGCAAAATGATATTATGTATATATGAGATATTAATTATTGATGGTGGTAATCAGAATTTTTGTATAAGAAACAAAAGGTAAAAGTAAAAGCAGTGAATTTAGAATACATGCCACATTTTTATAGGGAAAATAAGAAGATTTTTAAAATATCTATTGTTTCATTCTTTAAATAATTTTCATATCATTCACTTGACAAATGAGAGAATTACTTTTAATAAAAAGGGAGTATAGCTTCCTCAGTGGATCACTAGTAAAGAATCTGCCTGTAATGTGGGAGATGTGGAGATGTAGGTTTGATCCCTAGGATGGGAAGATCCCCTGGAGGAGAAAATGGCAACCCCACTCCAATAATTTTGTCCAGAAAACGATTTCAAAAATTAAAAGCCAAAAAAGGCAGGGATTGCTTATGAGAGGCCATGAGGTTGTTAAATTCTTTAGAGTATTATATTTAAAACAGCAGCATACTGTAGAAATTTTCATATAGCCTTCTGTCTAAAGGCTATATGAATTTTTGGACAACAATTTAACAATATATATTAAGAGACTTCAAGAGGGTCTTGTCCTTTGATCTTGTAATTTT